GCTTTGGAACAACGAGGCAGCAGGAGGACAGCTGCAGTTTAACAGCTTCAACTCACTGACAGGAAACAACATTAGAAACATCATCATCCTCAACTCATCTGCTGCACTGACACTGACACCTTCAACGGACACACCTTCACTTCATCAACAGTTTCAATATATGGAAACATCCTGTGAGTGAAAGTGTGTGTGAAGGTGTGTATGTGTGTGTTGTCAAAGGAGCTTGCAAAGAAAAGCGTCTGGACTTCTTTAAGTTAAGTCAGGTTGCCCAGGTGTTTGGCCTGGTCTATCAGAGCTCCTGAGGGCAGCTGTGGATCATCCAGCAGGGGGCAGCGCTGGACTCTTTCCACTGCAGCCTTGTAGTTGTGCAGGAATGAGACGTCTTCCGCTCTCAGCTCCTCCTCTGTGGCTCTGACTGTGTCTGAAAGAGCTGCTATCTCTCTGCTCAGAGCCTCCATCTTCTCCTTCATCATCCCACTCTTCTGCTTCTCTTCCTCCCTCAGTGCAGCCAGCCTGGCCTCCTCTTCCTCTGCTAGAAACTGGTGAAGCTTCTCAAACTGCTCTTTAATCTGCCTCTCTGTGTGTCGGGCCTGGACCTTAATGTGTTCTGCTGTTTGATCAAACTTCACTTGAACTTCTTCACAAACCTTTAACTTCTTCTTTAAGGGCTCCAGAGTTTCCTGAAGTTCCTTCTTCTGTTGTTGTGCAGCTTCATCGATGGGTCTGAATCTGTGATTGGTGTGTTTTTCTGAGGCACAGCAGACGACACACACTGGCTGCTGATGGTCCAGACAGAAGAGTTTGAGTTTCTCAGAGTGCAGACTGCAGAGAGCCTCTGAAGCTCTCTGATCTCTCCTGTAAGAACGACTCACACAGGTTCCTTAAAGCCAGATAAAAAGGTGGATCATACACTGATATTTTATTACAAACTGGACACTCGTGTGTTGGTCTCTCTCTCCACCATCTCTTCAGACAGTCTTTACAGAAGCTGTGGCTACATGACAGAAGAACAGGACAGGGAACAACTAACAACTAAGAACAGGGGAACAACTAAGCTGTAGTGCCTCTTCACTTCACTGTGCAATACCTTTGTTAATAGTCAACGGTGCAATAGAGTTCAATACTTGAAATGTGCAATTCACTTGCATTTTTATTTTTATTCCCATTTATCCC